TTGACAACCTTATATACCCAGCTTAGTAAAAGGGTCAATTGTGATGATGATCTTTGATAAGCATATCCACAAGAGTGAATGTGATGCAAGGCGTCTACTATTAGCATTGATAGCATTGTTCGAGTCCTTCATCTTGAGGGGGTTCGTTCATGCGGGTGAGAAATGCCTCATTGTTATTCAGAGCTTCATTCAATGTTTCTCTTGTGTCCTTAGACAAGCATTAAAGTCCTAATAAGGTTATACTAGCAGGTATGGTGGACAGTTGAGCTATGATGTCATATTTGAAAGGAGCCTTAGGATCACTTGGAGGATACTGTAAGTCCTTGTCAAACCAAGTCTCCTTTTGCTTGGCCGGTTCTGGTTGTTTGAATGTTCTGGGCTAACATTAATCCTTTAAGTAATCTTTTCCAGACCTTATTTCTATCATGGCCACTTTCTCTCCCTCTGAATCAGTGAGTGAAGTGATATGCAAAGATTCTTCTTCGATGATTGCAGAGATGGCGTTATAAGTCTTCATCTTACGTTTGTTTTTGGACTTCTAAAGTGTCCAGTTCTCATCTTGGAGAAGGTCGGGATGTACCCACATTATTTCGTCCCTTGCCTAGTAAGAGGGATCAAGCCTTTAGTTTGCTAGCTCTGGCGGTCATAATTTACCACCTCCATTCTCGAAGTAGGAATGGGGATAATGTTAGTTTGAGCTTGGATCTCTGGTATGGAGCCAAATGTCGGTGGTAACATTTTTTTGCTCTAGTTTGAGCTTAAGAATTGCTGATTCGATGAATGTCTAGACCTTATCCTTGAGGATGTAGCAGCTCTTCGTCGGATGTCCCAACATTCTATGATAAAGGCAATAGTTGGGGTCATCAGTCTTTCCGACTTCTTCGGGACATCCAGCTTCTGGGAGCTTCAGATGATTTCCTTTGTTAAGCACATGGAAGATGGTGACTGTATGTTCATCTTAGAATGAATAACTATGCTGAAAATTCTTCTGTTGCTCTTTTTGTTGGTTGTTATTGGCATTCTAAACCCTAGTGAATGTCTCTTTAGCCTTCGGTTGTGAAGTCTGCCCTTGTTTGCCTTTGTTGCTCTTGAAGTTGGTTCTCATGATTTTTCTGCTATCTCAGCCTATTCCAACAAATCCTTCCTTGTGTGGGCAGTAACGACATCCATGTGAGGTTCAATTTGTACCACAAAATTATGCTGGTAAGTTTAAAGTAACATCAGAATAGACATATCTCAACATCGTAATGTCAGATTGCGGTATCTTTTAACATATTCTTTGAACTTCTCATTTCTACTTTTCTTTTCAGGGAGGAGTTTAGACATAGTAATGTTACATTGCGCCTCGTGGAATTGTGGGAGGAACTTTGATTCTAAATCAGTCCATGATGTGATTGAGCCTTCGGGCAAGTTCTAGACCTAATCAAAGGCTACTCCCTAGAGGGTGCTAATGAAGAGACATGTCTTAATGGCATTGTTGCTCACTATGTTTTTGATTTGCTGATGAAAGTAGTAGATATGTTGGTTTGGGGAACCTTTACCATCGAACATATGTAATATAAGTGGTTTGAATTTTATTGAATAGGGAACCATATCTCACTCGACGAGATAAGGTCAGGTAATTCCAACCTTTTAGAGCTCAGTTCATTGAGGCATGACAATAAGCTGCTTCTAAATGTCCTATAATACTTTTGCTTCCTTGTTTGTCTTAGAAGGTAGCATTGCTTCTGATCTTACATGATTAGAATCTACATCGTCTTGATGATCTTGATCTTCTTCTAGGGGATCTTTACCGATTGGTCTTTTCCCTTTAGAAGAACTTGGTTAAGGTTGAGATGCCAAAAAGAGTTGTTTAACCATCTCTTCTAGAGGTTTGATCTGCTCATCTATGTCCTTCTTTTGAGCTACCATTTAAGCAAGAATATCTTTTCGGTCTGTCATATCTACCTATACCTTCATTCTTACCTTGAACTAGGGGTTATGTTTAATGCTATGGTAGAGTTAGCATCACTAGAGGTGGGTTGGATCACCAGAGATGAAGTTATGATGTCCATATTGGGATGAAAGAGTAGTCGAAAGGAATCAC